ATTTCCATTTATTGGCCATATTCTAGATACTAGTAAGTTTGGTTGCCAGGTAATTGAATTTTGAATAGGTAAGTTATCATCGTACTCCTGCTTTGTTTTTAGTAAAAGTACTAAAGTAGGACGTAATATAGAAAAGTGCGCAAATCATGTCTACAGTTCAATGACTTTAAACAATGGAAGCCACCCTTGTTAGGTGTACCTGCTTTATCCTGGTCAAAGAATCAATCTCCAAGCATCAATTTCCACGTGCAAACTATCAAAGCGTCCTTTCCCATCTGCAACCCCTGCATCACTAGGTAACTGCAACAATTGTGGGAGGCGAAAAGATTAGTTAGCTCCTGCTGTACTTGACAAAAGTAGAAAGTGAGGCTTTCTCAGGTGCCAGGGTGGATAGCAAGGACATTACACCAAGTGTTCCAGGGCAGGAATCCTCCCATTATTCTATGGAAATTACTCAGAAGTTACAAATAGGCTAGTATCCATGCGAGGTTCAAATTTCGGACAGGAGCAGAGCAGACTTCTGCCAGCACCGAAGGCTCTGGTGGTTGTGTGGAGCCTGTATCTGTTCTAACCAGTGTCCCTGACATACATGCACCTGTTAAATATTTTAAATTTCTTCCCTGGAAAATCAAATGTCAATGGGTTCCTTTAAGCCTTAAAGTTTAAGGGAAGGACAGGGGCATACATAATCAGCGATTATACCAGATTCCCAAAAGGAAATCCTAGTTCAAAGCTTAAGAAGCCTTCACATTCTTTCTTTCTTTTTTAACATATTTTTATTGATTTCAGGGAGAAGGAGAGAGAGAGAGAGAGAGAGAGAGAAACATCAATGATGAGAGAGAATCATTGATCGGCTGCCTCTTGCATGCCTTCCTACTGGGGATCGAGCCCACAACTCAGGCATGTGCCCTTGACCTGAATCTAACCCGGGACCCTTCAGTCCACTGGTTGACGCTCTATCCACTAGCCAAACCCCTAGAGCCACATTCTTATATTCTTACCTCATTTCTTCCATTCTCTTTTCCATCGTTTCATCCTTAATAAGATAAATTTGATAGAAATGGAGGGACTGAATGATAGTATTGAATCCTGTCTATCTCTGTCACCGTTTAAAACTACCATCCATCCAAGCCTCCAGTGCTTTGAATTGCAACAGTGGAGCACCTTAATACAAAATCCCAATTGTAAAAGTCGCAAAGGTCCAACGCTTCACAGGCTAAGGCTCCCTGTGGGTCTTCCACTAGCTACAGGGCTGCAGTGTTGTATAAACTGCCCTATCAAAAAAGTGCCAGCAGCTCTGGCCGGCAGCTCACTCAATTGGAGCATCCATCAGCTCCTACACCAAAAGGTTTTGGTTCTATTCCAGGCCGGGACACACACAATCCTCAGTCAGGGCATGTACAGGAGGCGACCAACTAATGTTTTTCTCTCACATTGATGTTTCTCTCTCTCTCTCTCTCCCTCTCTCTCATTCTCTTTTTCTCTCAAATCAATAAACATGTCCTCGGGTGAGGATAAAAGTAATTGCCTAGCAGCCCTGGTTGGGTGGCACAATTGGTTGGAACCCCGTGCTGTACACCAAAAGGTTGTGGGTTCAGTTCCTGGTCGGGGCACACACCGAGGCTTTCAGTTCAATCCCCAGTCGGGGTTGACTGGGAGGCGACTGGTCAATGTTTCTCTGTCTCTCTCTCTTCCTTCCTTTCTCTCTAAAAATCAATGAATATGTCCTCGGGCGAGGATTTTAAAAAAATGCTTAGCAAACAAATAAAATACAAAGCAGTGGGGAAGCAGCACTTTTTAATAGTTCTTTCCCATAAACTAGAAGGAAAATTGTTCCAGGAATGTGAATTTCTTTTTAAATGAAAGGATCTATAGGATGCAAACTCCCCAAATGCTGCAATTGTTGATACAACAAAATAGAGGGAGCTTGGGAGCCACGTTCTGTGAATCAAACCCAGGCCCCACAATCTGTGTCCTGTTCCTTCTCTTATAGGTGACAGTGGCACCCACCACAGGCTGTCCTGAAGATTCCGTTAGCATGGCTTCCCTCCCTCCTTCCTTCCTTCCTTCCTTCTTTCCTTCCTTCCTTCCTTCCTTCCTTCCTTCCTTCCTTCCTTCCTTCCTTCCTTCCTTTCTCTCTCTCTCTCTCTCTCTCTCTCTCTCTCTCTCTCTCTCTCTCTCTCTCTCTCTCAACAAAGGAATGCACTGGACAGGTCAAAGACAAAGTCCTCTTATGGATCCCTAATCCAAGGAATCAAAACAATCAATAAAGCAACAAGGAGAGCGACAAGCAGATTAATATATAATCAGAGGGAGCTCTCCCAGGACCCAGAGCTACAGGGGCAGAGGAGACCGGCAGGACCTCGCCTTGGAGAGAAAGCAGGCTCTCCCACCGCTCTGCTCCTGGGGTGAGAGATCATTCTCATACCACCCTCACAGTACTGGTGTTCTCATACCCTTTCATCTTCTCCTTTAAATCAATTTATTTAAACTAAAACAAACAACCAATTCACCCATCCCCCAATCTCCCCACCCAACCCCCACCTCTGGCAACCATGAATCTATTCTCTGTATCAATGAGCTTGTATCTATTTATAGATTCCACATATATAATAGAGATCATATATGGTGATAATAGAGATCGCCTTTCTCTTAGCATAATGTCCTTGAGGTCTACCCATGTTGCCCCAAATGACAAGATTTCATCCTTTTTAATGCCTGAGTGACATTCCAATGTATATATCCCACAATATCTTTACCTGTTCCTCCATCAATGAACACTTAGCTTGTTTTTGTGTCTCAGCTATTCTAAAAATGTAATAAACATGGGGGTGTAGCTATCTTTTCAGGTTAGTGTTTTCATTTCCTTCGGATAAATATCCAGAAGTGGACTTGCTGAGTGGTGGGGTCGTTCTATTTTTAGTCTCCTAAGGAACTTCCACACTGTTTTCCATATGAGCTAAACCAATCTATCTTCCTACCAACAGGGCACAGTGTACCCTCTTCTCCACATCCTCGCCAACACTTCTCATTTTGTGTCTTTTTGATAATAGCCATTCCTAACAGGTGTTAGGGGATGTTTTATTGTGGTTTTGACTTGCATTTCCCTGATGATTAATGATGTTGAGAATTTTTTCATGCACCTGTTGGCCATCTTTATGACTTCTTTGGGAAAATGTCTATTCAGACCCTCTGCCCATTTTTAAATTAGATTGTGGTTTTGTTTGTTTGTGTTTTTATTGGGGGGTGGGGGTGTTGGTGTTTTTTTGTTTGTTTTGTTTTGCTATTGAGTTGTATGAGTTCTTTATATATTTTGGATATTAGCCCCTTATCAGATACACTAGAGGCCCGGTGCACTAATTCGTGCATGGGTGAGGTCTGGCCGGCCTGCCTCTATCAGGCCAATTGGGCTGGGCCAGTGGGGGAGGGAGGAGGGGACACGGGAGGTTGGCCAGCCCTGCCCCCAATTGGGGTGGGGGGGCCGATCAGGGGCAGGGCCAGCCCAGGGGGAGGGGCTGTGGGGATTGGTGGGCGGGCTCTTCCCCAAATCAAGTGGTGGGTGATCACGGGTGGGGCCAGCCAGGGGGAGGGGCCAAGGGTGGATGGCCAGCCAGTCCCTCCCCCTGGTCAAACTCCCTCCAGGTGGAGGGAACAATTTGATTATTAGCCTTTTATTATATAGGATTCTTAAATTATGTATTGTCTCAAGCAACGTAGGCAAAATGGGAGGGGGGTCCCTCCCAGAAAGGAGTTAAACAAATTTACAGCATTGATCAACTACCTGGTTAGAACAAAAACATTCCTGTTTGACGAACATGTAAGTGCGAGGTTCCTTCCCTCCCCATCCGCTCCTCCTCAAGGTTTGCATCTCATCATCCAGCAGAGGTCTGACCACCCAGGGTCCTCAGGCTGGTGCGTCCTCAGGCTCCCACCCGGGAGAAGCCAATTTCAACCCCTTGGCTGGAGGGAAAAGCAAGTGTAACTCAAGCACAGAATTAGCCTTCGTAGTATATTACAGGTCCATACACTGTCTATCACAACAATTCCTGCTTTTAAAGTGTAAAAGTATTAAACTTGGAGGAATCACGCCAAGCTTGGTTAGGAGCTTTTGTTGTGGTTGTTTGTTTGTTTGTTTGTTTGCAATTGCATGCTAAAAACTGAAAACTACTTCTGACAACGAAACTAAAATAATTGCACTATCATTTTGCCAACGTATTTTCCTCCTATTTTAACAAAGTTGGGAACATTAAAGTCTATGGAAAACCAAGCAATCGGTAGCTGGTTGGTGGCATTTGAAAGGGCTTTTTGAGGGACTTCCTGTAACCTTTAAGGAGTGTCTCTTGATTTCATAGACCTCAGAAATTGAAAACTACACAGTGGGGTTTTCTCTAAAATAAAGAGAACCTGCTGAAACCGGTTTGGCTCAGTGGATAGAGTGTCGGCCTGCGGACTGAAAGGTCCTGGGTTTGATTCCGGTCAAGGGCAAGTACCTGGGTTGTGGGCACTTCCCCAGTGGGGGATGTGCAGGAGGCAGCTGATCGATGTTTCTCTCTCATCGATGTTTCTAACTCTCTATCTCTCTCCCTTCCTCTCTGTAAAAAATCAATAAAATATATTTAAAAAATAAAAAAATAAAATAAAATAAAGAGAACCTGACTCTGCCCAGGATTGCTACCCCCGCAGGGGCTGAAGACTTCTTATTGTTTTAGGGGAGAAACACACACACACACACACACACACACACACACACACACACACACACAACATACTTGACAGGCAGGTTAAAGGGAAGTAAACCAAACAGGCTTCAGTCTCTAATAGAAAAAAAATGACTCCAAGTCCCCAGTTTTTAAGAAAAAAGAATTTAACTTTCCTTAGGAAAAGCCAGCTGCCAGCTGAGGGTGCTGTGTGCTGGGCAGGTGGCCAGAGAGGTGAGAGGCTGCCGTCGGGGGGAAGCTGGGGGCTGCCCGTCCAGCCTGCCCGGCCCCGGGAGCCCCTACCTGCGTTCCTCAGCTTCTTGTTCCGATACACGGACAGGATGACCAGGAGGTTGCCCAGGATGTCCACCACGATGGTGAAGATGAGGATGAAGGCCAGCGTGGAGGCCAGCCACGAGGGGCGCGGCCCCGCCGCCCCGCCGCCGCCGCCGGGCCCCTGCTGGGAGGCGTTGAGCAGCGCGCTGCTGTTGCCCTTCATGGTGCCGCCCGGCGCGCCACCGGGACGCCCGGCCATCGCGCGGCCCGGGCAGGCGACCCCCGCCCCGCGTTCCCTGCAAGTGGCCACCGCGCGCGCGATCCACCTGTGTGGCTCCTCCCCGCCCGCCCGCCCGCAGCCACTCTCCATCCCTGGGGCTCCTTCGCGGCCGCCCTGCCCGCCCCACGCCTCCCGGCGGCCGCGCTCCGCACCTGCAGCCCCGGCCCGGGCCCCCCGCCGCGCGCCTCGGGGGCTCCCGGGACTGGGGGCTCCCTGCGCGCAGCCCGCACTGCGTGCCCACAGCGCCCCCGCGCGGGCGGCCCGGGTGCAGCCGCCTGCGCTCTAAGCGGGCAGCGACTCCAGGGTCGCTGGGGTCCTTGGTGTTTCCTCTCTGTGACATTGCAGCAGACCGCGTGGGCGCGAAGCCTCCCTCGGACTGAGGAGCATCTGTGAGCCCCCATATGCCCCAGCGTCCCTCCCTGGAAACTGGGCACCAGGGAGGATCGGCCGTCCAGCCGGGAGATGGTAAGAGGTGCAGACATCGAGGCCCGTCCTGGGGCAGGCATTCGTCAACCAGAAATCACTCCCCAGCTCTCTGCACTTGCACCCCACATCCCGAAAAAGGCCATCCATAATTTCTTATGTTGGATATAAATTTTTTAGTAGTTTTATTTTTTTGCCATCCGTCATTTTCCCCAACAGCTATTTCTGTGGTGAGATGTGAACGCTGCCCTTCAAATCCCAAGTGCTTGTCCTCAACGTGGGCACAGCCTCTGCGGGCTTCCCAGGCCATCAGCGCGAGAGTGAAGGGTGCTGCCGCTGGAAATGACAGCGACTCCGCTGGGAACCCTGACTCGGGGCAGCTATAAACTTTTCATGTCGCTTTCAAATGCCACGGACTGAGTCGCTTTAAGGTGGCCACGACCTTGCTTCCACAGCCACACGAGGCAGGTCTCCAGGATTTCTTCGGAGCAGAAACCGACCCGAAACCCGTTTAGTCTCCAAACCTGCCGAGCTCTTCCTGCAGACACCCACCCTGTCGGACGCATATTCACCCCATAGCTCTTCAAAATAACGCCATGAAAGTACCATGGAATCTACAACCTCAGTAATAACTTAACGGGCCCCCAGGCCTTTGGAGTCATTCCAGAAGCGTCTGCGATGGAACAGACAAGCCTGCAACTTTCCAGTCAAGCCGCCGGACCGGACCGGTACTTAGCAAGGAATTAAATAAATCCACCGTTTCCCCTGTCTGACTAGGGCTTCCCCTCTCACATTTTCCTAGATCCATGCCATCACGGCCAAGTCCTAGATTAGAATCAGTGCCCTGTCATTCATTAACGTACTTGTTCGGGAAATAGTTTACCCGCTTGGCTCAAAACATGGTCCTCACCACGCAGGTGGCAGCGTGCGCTGAGGATGCGGGGGTGAGATGCAGAGGTGAAATGGAGTGTCTGCCAGGAATGGGAGCACCGAGGAAGGAATTCATGGCTGCATTAACCGAGTTAAATAATAGGGCTTTCAGTGAATACATTTTATTTTAGAGCCATGCTGAGTTCACAGCCAAACTGAAGGGATGTACAGAGATGTCCCATATGCCCCCTGTCCACCCACATGCACAGTCCCCCCCCACACACTATCTACATTCCACACCCAAAGGGTACCTTTCTGAGAATCGATTAGCCTGTGTTGACACAGCACTATCACCCAAAGGCATTAGGGTTCACTCCTGATATTGTACATTCTGTGGGTTTGGACAATTGTGTGTCCATCATTATGAGTATTTTCGCTGCCCTCAAAATCCTCTGCTCTGCTGATGTATCCCTCCCTCCCCTCAGTTTCTGGCAATTACTGATCTTTTTCCTGTCTCCTTAGTTTTGCCTTTTCCAGTGTCTGTGGTTAGAATCATACAGTAGGTAACCTCCCCAGATTGGCTTCTTTCACTGCCTAACAGGAATTTAAGGTTCCTCCATGTCTTCTCGTGGCTTGCTAGCTCATTTCTCTTTAGCACTGAATAAATATTCTATTGTCTGGATGTACCACGGTTTTTCCATTCACCTACTGAAGGACATCTCTGTTGCTTTCCGCTTCGGGCAACTATGAATAAAGCGTCTATAAACATCCATGTGCAGGTTGTTGTGTGGACATACGTTTTCAACTCCTTTGAGTAAATAACAAGAAGAGTGATTGCTGGAGAACATGTAAGTTTGTTTAGTTTGGTAAGAAATCGCCAGCCTGTCTTCCAAACTGGCTGCACCGTTTTGCATTCCCACCGGCAGGGACTGAAAGTTCCGGTAGCTCCACATCCTCCGCAGCTGAAAGCCCAAGATAAAATGTCTTCAAAGAAAAACAAGGTGTATTATGCATTCTGGGGAACAATTAATCCATCCAACAGCTGATTTCTCACCAGAAACCACGTTAGCGTCCTACTGCTGTCATAACAAATTACCTCAATTAAATTAATTTAGAGGCTTAACAACACTCATTCATTATCACACAGTTAGTTAGTCCAGAAGTCCAGGCAGGGAGTGGCTCGGCTGGCCCTCTCGGAGCCTCGCAAGGACAAAATCAGGGGTCAGCGAGGCTGTGATCCTTCCTAGAGCTTCTAGGGATGAATCCGCTTCCAAGTGTGTTCAAGCCATTGGCGCCATCCAGCTCCATGTACTGCAGGACTAAGGTCCACCTAAGCTCTAGGCAGTGGCTGCTTGCCTTGACCCCACTTCTCTCCCCATCTGCAAAGCCAGCCATGGCGGGTCAAGTCCCACTCATGCTTCAAATCTCTCACTTTAACTTCTGCCTCGCCTCCCTGCCTCCAGTCTGCAAAGCCCCATAGGCAGTGTAAAGCAACATTTCACAGGGTTGAGGGAACAGCATGTTTGGGGGCCATTACACTAAATAGCACCGAAATGATGAAGGACAAAAGGACATGGGAACGCTGACCTTGAAGTGCTAAAAGAACAAACCTGTCAAATCAGAATGTAAATGGACTAAGCTCCCAAGATATTCAGATTAAATAAAAATTAAGAAGCTTTATGCGATTTACATGAGTCTCACCTAATACATAAGGGTCAGAACCATTGAGAATAAAGAAGATGAAAGATGTATCTCAAATATAAAGCAAAGGTAAGACTGGTGCAGCCTATAACAGCATTGACTAAATAGACTTTGTTGTGGATAGAATGCTTGTGTCTCTCCAAAATTCTTACATTGAAACCTAATTTCCAATGTGATGGTCTGGGAGGAAGGGAGCTTTGGGAGGTGATGAGGTCATGAGGGTGGAGCCCTCAGGCATGGGATTACTGCCCTTATAAAAGAGGTCCCACCGAGTTCCTCACCCCTACCCACCCTGTGGGGACCCAGCAAGTGTGTGAGGTAAGTCTGGAAACCTTCTCTGCCTCTTGCACGAAATAGACCAAATCCTGTTGATTCTAATCATCTACTTTCCCTCCATCTGCATGGCCCCTAACCCAGTTGAGTCTATCATTGTCTTTTATGGGAATTACTATCACAGCCTCCTAATTAACCCCCCTGGCTCCCATCTTACACCCCTTCAATATATTCAAAGTCAATGATTTCCACCTCAATTTAATTGTAAAATTCCATTGGGTTAAAATCATATAAACAAATATATCCATCCCTCCAGACAACCCTTCCATGGAGGCCCACTGCTCCTTTGAATCAAGTTCCACACATTTCCCAAGACCTTTCACAATGTGGCCTTCCAGCCTTGACCTTCCTAAGCATCCTTTCCCTCAAAAGCACCTGCTCCACTCGCCAACCTTGTGAACTTCCTTTGGTTCCTCATACATCACATTCACCCTCTTCCTCCCACTTTTCCCACAAGTTCCTGCTGCATGCAACACTACTTCCCATCCGCTTCTCTGGAGTCGCTCAGACCTTGCCGTGAGCTCATCCCCCGAGTCTGGGCTATGTTCCCCTCCCCTGCGCTCCCCCAGTTCACCGTGTCCATTATCCTGACAACAACCACGTGCCACTCTGCGCCTCTCTGTTTTCTTGCTGGAACCTCACCCCCAGCTTGTGAAGCAGCCCCGTGTCTAGGATGCAGTGGACACCAACAATTATCTGTTGCATAAAATGAGAGAATGAGGGAACCCATTGTCTGGCGGCTTTAAGAGGACAAAATTTCTATGAATTATGTCTTTTATCATATTTGGGAACTTGTTACTTATCAGGAAAAGATGATATTTGTCAGACTAATGGATTTTTAATGCATTTGTCAAAGGGATGATACTTTTTAAATATTTATTCTCCTGTCAATAGCAAGAAGGAGGAAACATGTTTTTCACTCTAAGAATATTTGTGTTGCGTTATTAGTTAATACGCGTGGATTTTATTTGTTTGCATACTGTAAGAACATTGTATAACTCTGTAAGATGTGAAACAATGCAATTCAAGAATTTAAATTTTATTTAGAGCATACAGACTTTCACTAAATATACATGTATCTTAATCTCAAGAGCTAATTACAGTATACCATAAAAAAATCTTTTATGATTCCTTCATGTCATTCACAATGTTTGATTCCACATTAATCCAAGTAAGATATTGTGTACAGAGGAAAATACTTAAGGGAGATTAGGAATATTCAAGTTTCTTGTTGATATGCATGAAGATACAGTACAAAAGCAATTCGGTAATTTGCCTACTATGCGCACTGTGGAGGCAGTCATAAAACAGATGTACCCGTGAATCTGCTGGTCATCAGTGGGATTAGGGAAGGTGGGTGCTTGTATAAAAACAAACCACCTGGGTCGGGATTGGCAGGTGAGGGGTGGGTTTGGCTAGGACAGTGGTCAGCAAACTCATTAGTCAACAGAGCCAAATATCAACAGTACAACGATTGAAATTTCTTTTGAGAGCCAAATTTTTTAAACTTAAACTATATAGGTAGGTACATTGTTATTAACTCAATTAGGGTACTCCTAAGGCTTAGGAAGACCCACACTCAAGGGGCCAAAGAGCCGCATGTGGCTCGCGAACTGCAGTTTGCTGACCACGGGGCTAGGAAGACCTGCGATCCTCCTTCTGACTCAGAGAATCCTCACCT